GTCACTAATCAGGCTGGGTGAATTCCTGGAGACAGGCATCCCTGCGGAGGAAAGACAAAACAAAAGAAGAGCATCCCAGCTGATGAGAGGCCTCCCCGTTGCCAGGGAAACTCAACTAATCCCAAAACCCTCATGTGCCCAAATGAAAAGCCGGGCTTCGGCCCCCCTCATACTGGGCTTTTGTTCCGCCGTCTCCCCTCTCCGCAGCAGAGAGCGAATTCTCCCCTCGCTGGGGAGGCCAGAGGGGGCGCCGATGCCCAGGCCTCTGGGGTCCTCCTGGCAACACTCCTGTTCCCCCTTCCTCCCTGGCGCACTAGAAGCAGAACCGTTCCCACGGCATTCCCCGAGAGCGGGCATGAAAAGCATGCGGCAACGTGGGGACTCAGCCAGATCAAAAGCCATTAACATAAAGGAGAATTGGGGAGTGTCAGACATCTCACCTTCACTTCTGATGGGATCCGAGTCCAGGGACAAGCGGGCATTCCAGTCGCCCCGCAGCTCGTAGCGAAAGGCGGCAATGCGCCGGCTGATGTCCTGGTGTGGAGTGGCCTGCAGGAAGAGGGCCAGCCTCTCGCCAGGCTGTCGGCTGAAGCAGCGCACCCGGGGGGGGCGCGGCTCGTCCGGCCGGTCGCCCACCAGGAGCTCCAGGACGCCGTCACGTTCTAGGTACAGCTGGGCCCCCAGGAAGCTCTCGGCCGGCTTAATGCAGGCCGTGATGTGACCCGAGGTGCTGTGACCGCTGCCCACGGGCCCCACCGCCGCAGACGGCAGGCGGGGGGACAGTGAGAGCCGCAGCGCCCCCTTAGGGTAGAGCCACTCCAGTGAGCCTTCGGCACAGTGCAGTGAAATCTGCTCAACGCTGCCTGGGTGCTGAGAAAGGCCGCTGAAGGAGAGAGAAGAACGAACATCAGATCACAGCTCTCAGCTTCTAGTGGGGGGAAAAGCATTCCCTGACGCAAACACAGGACCACAACCTTCCCTACTACCTCGTCTGAGCGGCTGTGAAGGCAGACTTACAGCCCTAGCGTGAGCTCTCATGTGGCCAGAAAATTAAGTCTCCATAATGACCATCAGAAAGAATGGAAATGGTTTCCAGAGCTATGTGAAAAAATTTTAGGATCGTGGCCTAACTGTATTTCAGATGTGGCGGATGTGGTGAGAATCCCGTTCGACATCAAACAGTTCTGTAAAAGGATCTTTAAAAATACCATAAAATGGTTCTCCTCCGCAAATTCTCTGAAACAACTTTTCCCAAGCTATACTATGAGCAAGACGGAAAATCTTTTTTGTACAGATTACTATCTACAGAACAAAATAATCATCAAAAAGCCCATGTTTTACTACATTATATACACGTAATAATTATAAATAATTCAGTCTTTAATTATATGCTAAAATGTTGCGCCCTCTGTTGACGAAAGAAACTTACGACAATGCGAAGGCAACCGATATTAAAGCTCCAGTTCTACCACTAAACTTAGTCATTAAGTACTTTTCCAACCACCGACCCCGCAAAATCGCTAAATCAGATATACTGGATGACTTAGGAAGCCATAATCATAAGTGTTTTGTAATTTAACGCATTACGATTAACTTACAAAAACGTGGTAAACATGGGGTATTTTCAATTTCTTACAGCAATCGGACACAGGAAGGCCAATAACGATTTCAGATGTCATAGAAACCTTTTTCCCGGTCTCAAAGCGCTATTAGATGGAAAAGTGAGAATTTGAGCACACCATTTGAGTCCCCGGATTAGTTCACTGTCTTTTATAGCTGATCGGTTTATAGCAACATAAAATGACAACCAAGGAGCCGACTACAAAACTGTACACCTGTCGGACTGCCAAGTTGCGAAATCCAATTAGAAGTCTTACAACCGCCATTCATTTTTCTTAATTACATTCCAGTGCTAGTACGGCCGTTATAATCCTGTAATCTAGCTAATTACTGACAATGTCTTCGATCCAGAACAAGCATTACTAACGTTATAGCTTTCTGGCATTCTATTTCAACGTATTTTTCCAAACCCGGAGGGGGGTTTTAAATGATGGATTGTAAAAATGTTGTGATCACCTAGCTGAACGATGTAGCGACCGCTGTGTGGGACTAATCGTTTTTTAAAAAGTATGTAAAGGACCTAGATAATGGAAATGCGCAAACAAAACACCCCCAACCCCCCGCCCGATCCAATCCGATCTGCACCGAGAGGAGCCGTGCCTAATCGCGCCGGCAGGAGTTTTATTGCGCTGAGTCAGAGACGCCCAGCGCCGGAACTCGTCTGACCTGTTTTGAGCCAGTCTGAATGAGCAATGCAACTATTAAAGTGCATGAAAAGGAGCAGTCCGAATACAACCGTAACCAAGAAATAAAACATCACATATTATTACTAGGCACCTGTTATTAATATGCATCAATAAACCCAGAGGCAACAAGTGAATAACGAATATTGTTATATGTCTTCCAATAGTAATACCCAGAGGTTCCGGCCACATCATAAAATATATACTTGCCTCCCTTTCCAGCTGCACTGATCTTCCGAATAGCTGGAGAAAGCCATGTCAGAGATTGAACACACCATGATCCACGCTGTGTACACCCAGACGAGGTGCATTTTCTTCTCTGGATGACTAATGGAACTTTAACGCAACTGGGACCCGGGACCCAAGAAACGCCCTATGATCGCTGTCCAAACGAAGATCCTTTTCAGCAAATGACAATAAATGTATCCTCCATATCCCTCCGAATAACTCCGCAACTGTTTTCAATCCACAGATGCAATATACAGATGACTACCTACCCTTAGCAAAACTGCACAGATCACTGCCGGCGCGTACCTAGGACATAACTGCTGCGCGCTGGGTAGATGGCCGAAGTTTTGTCATGCGTGGGCAATGTCCGTCGCCCAGCTGGCCAATGAGAAGCGGCGAAACTTTAAACCATTCAGCGAACGGAAACGGGATCGCGGGGGCGGGGTTTGCATCAAGACGGAGCAGCGGGATTTAAATGACTTCACCGCAAAACCATTCAAGCACGACTGAGCCGGCGATGCGCGCATCTGCGCGCTCTGGCTTTCCGCCTGCGTTTAGCCTGTACTGTATGCGTAGGTTATGTACGCTCTATACTTGTATCCTATATGAAACATAATTTCTTGAACCTTATACCAAATACTAATTGTAAAAATATGAGGACATCAATAATAGGCCTATTGCTGTACAGAGCCATAATTTTAAGAGCAACGATCTTTAACTTTAGCTACAATCTTTATCTCTATATGTGCTGTATATAAACAGTGTAAATCAAAATTTCACAAGTCTAAGACGCCAAATACTCTAAAGAGTATATACTCCAAAAATAAATTATATTCAATCAGAATAGTTTTGCCTTTGTATATCTCCCGCAAGCAATTATATAACCTCCTGAGGCAGTAATGGAACAGCTCCATATATGAGTAAAGTCTACCATGATTTACGTGCCGATATTTCCATTATTCAAAACATAAATATTTTACCCCGAAAAGCTGGAACTATTAAAGAAATATCTAGAAAACAATTCTGTCCCACCATAAGTGAAATGAAATAGCATTTTGGTTTAAATCAAACATTACGTGCAGAGTTATAATTAAAGGCTAGCATATTTAAGCATTACGCAATACATGTTATTTTATATGACTTAATTTGTGACTGGCTGTTATGCATTTTCTATATATGTCAATTTAAATTACACTACATATGTATACGATGGAATATATTACTGACTGAAAACCCCCAGGTCAATGGCTTTTATGGGTTATGCTTTTCTGCCTCCCTTTCGGGCAACAGATGTTTTTAAGTACCTCTATTGTGTCTGCAAACTTGCCCGCCAAAAAGTTTGAATAAAAGCACAACCTCTTCAATGAGTGACCCAAGACTGCGGTTTTGATGGAGTTATGTAAATGAAGCAATTGAGATTTAGATCGACGTGTTTCCCCACAACAAAACAAAAAACGCGGGCCCAGCAGAGAGGGCGCTTGTTGAAAATGCAGCGGCAATTCTGTGCAATTGATATAAAGGGCAGGGGCGTGGGGACGGGGGTGACGTGTAATTTGGCTTCATTGCCCTAACCCCCCCACCACCCACCCACAAAAAAACAGACCTTTACATTTAAAATATTAAGTTGCGTCCCCCATATTAAATTCTCTTCTATGCCCTTGATAAGCTATTAGTAAGCGTAGTTAAGCATACAGGTATCACTGAATGAAAACACATTCACAATAAAATACAGACATTTTTTATTTAGAACCACCGATTTCACCTCATCGGTTAAATTGCATCCATTATAATATGAATTTAGGACAACATCTAGAATAACTTTTACAAATGAATTGAAGGATGTCACACTCCAGGATTTTTGTTCAAAAGAACCACTTTTCACAAAGAGCTCACCATAGCTGCCTTATTTTGAAATGTAGTAGTAAAATTGATTTCACACATAAAAGTCATAATAATCTGTGCCATGCTACATGAATACCAGCACAATTTAAGTAGTTTTGAAGAAACTTTATACTCACAGAATTATCTGCCACAAAACATAAAAGTACAATATAAGTAAATGCAGACACAGTTTAATACAAAAGTCTGTTTAATTGCCAATAATGCATAAAATACTTTGTATAATCTTGATATACAAGCTAATTAAAAGAAAACCTTGCATAGGCATTTTCTAACTTAATTTTCTGACAATGAAGCGAGTTTATGGGTTATGCATATACAGGCTATATAGATCCTTATATTCACTAAATCTGGGCTTCCTTTATGGAAGGCATGCAGGCTTTCTAAGATGGCTGCATATTCTTTCGTTGCTTTAATATTTAAATGGCCTGCTGGAGAACTCGCCTGGTCACCCTGAGACAAGCCCCTGGCTTCGTGGTGCTTTGCTAATGAGGGCGGTTAGCATTCTCTGTCCTGGATGGTCCGCAACCACCCCAGCCTGTGGACACAATAGATGAAATATCTAAACATTCCCAGATTAATTAATTTTGGTATATCCGGGAAAGAGACTCCTGTTGCTTTTTCATCCTTTAAGTGAAACGTATAATACAAAATAACAGAAATGTACCTGAAAGGTTATCTGACTCTTTCACAGTTACAATCAAAGCTACGAAGCTGAGCCATATTAGAGTGTTTGCCAAGATGTAGCACACGTCAGCTAGAAAAGGTCAAGACTTTGTTTTAAAAGCAAACTTATGCAACTAGCAGAGCTCTGGATATTTAGTGCGTAAATTTCAGTTCCATCATTAGCATAAAGGTCATTATTTTCAATGACACATTAAATAATCTGAAAAATCATGACAACATCTGGACAAAGCACAACAGTAAAGAAGCACAGAAGTTAACTCAACAGATGTTGTCAAACTTCCCCAACGGGGACAACAACTGAACAGCTGCTAAACACCACAAAAATACAGCATGACCATCAGTGGTGGTTTTAGCTGAAATGCCACCCTAGGTCAGCCTCCCCCCCCCCCCCCATCCGAGGCAAAGTGAAACTGGCCGGCAAGTCAATGCCCTGTTAGAAATCTGCACACTGGGCAGCTGCCTAGGCTGTGGGCCCTGATTACCATAGATGTGAGTCAGCACCTCTGTGATCCTGCATCAACAAAAACTGTACAGCAGGAGCTTCACAGAACTGCAATTTATGGCAGGGCTGCTATCGAGAAGCTCTACATATCCAAGACCAATGGGCACAGACTAGGTATAAGAAGCACAGAATGGATTAACATTTACATCTGGGTGGATTTACAAGTCAGGAGATCCAAGGCATGGTCTGTTAGCAGCTGTTAGACATGTTGGGGAATCCATACTGGTATGGGCAACCATAAACTTATACCCAAGAATGCGGTTTTTGGGCTTATTCTCACATAATCAGTACCGACCGTAAGCTTGTGGGATGATAATTATGCATGGTTATATAATGGCCAAGGAATATGAAGTCATTTTACAGGATGAGATGTACTCCATGGACCAAACATTGCTCCCTCATGATGTTAAATATATTCTGAGATAATAATTCCCTCATACTAACAGCAAAAAAAAAGTTTATGAGCGATTTCTTCAATGCCACGATGAAGGCGACTGCCTTCCTTGGCCTCCTTAGAAGTTCTGGAGCTCTCAGTTCATGCTGTATTTTCAATCTCCTTTATCCCTCAAAGACCTGGAGGCTTTTCCTCGTGTAAAATGATCCTATATCCCACTTCCTGCAGTTCAGCGCTTGTTTGACAACATCTCTAGAAGGAATTAGGCTGTTCTGAAGGCTAAGGGTGGCCCTGTTCCTGATGTCCTTCACATTAATATATCATTAGGTATTTTCATTCATTTGTCCACCCCAGGAAGTCCATAGAGAGTAGATGAACCTCTAATGCACTCACTCAATTAAATAACACCAGCACCTGTACCTGGCAAAATACCATTGTAGTTAACTTATTAGCTATGGTTAATAATATAAATCTAAGGAACAATGGACTTCGGGAGATTAACTACAGTTATTTGCGAATCTGATCTAATAATTGGTTAATAAACGTGGAATTACTTGCTATAACAACATGGGATAAACCACACAAAAAGTAACTATTACGCTCATCTAACACACTGTAACCAACGAATGCAGAGCCAAACATCAGCGTGTTCAATAATTTTGTGTTGATTATAGGGGCATTAACAAAAACGCTGAAACGCAATGACAATACTAGATAATTCAGCACAAACTGAACTCATGAATTGCAGAATCCAGGGGTTTCACCCCAGCCTCGGGCATCTTCTCCAGGCACCACTGGGTTCTCCGTCGATCCTGCAGGGCTCCCTTTCAAGTCAAAGTATTAGAAGTCGATAAAATATTCTTTTGTGCTGGTCCTGCCATCCATCTCTACGTGAGGGGGTTACGAGTAGGCTGTGTGAGGCTTTCAGTGAGACTGTGCTAACACACCGTGATGAAAGGTTAGGCAGTAGAACCGCAGTCCTCTGGTCCAGTTATGACAAGGCTTCAAACCCCAACAAAGGCACATGTGCAAAAATCCAGCTGCTCTATTGTCGGCTGAAGAGAAGGCTTTGTTCCGTACGGGACATTTCAAAGGCGAGGGATCTGAATGGAGAACCAGGCTTCTGTAAGAATGCAGTGAATGAATAAAGATCTATTAATAGTAGCTATAACAATGCTGACTTTAGTAATTGTCACATGAGTTGCTGATGCAGCCCTTCATCTATAACCTCTGGTTTTAAAAGTTCATCATTCAGCTTTTTCATCTATTAGCTCGGGTGTAAGAACGAAAAACAGTTCAATATATATATATGATCTCAGACTTTTTGTGCTGTAAAGTGATGTGTTGATATACTGGTTTTGGACAGTCCATTTGTCAATAGTGTCCATGGAAATGTCCATTATCGCCTGTTTATACAGCCGCAGGCCTGCTCGGCACCTCCGACTGAAAGAGACAGCTTCGCAAAACATCAGCCAGCAGGCCTGCATGGAAACCAGACTTTCCAGCACACCTCACAACAACAGGTGTTAGAAAATTCTGGAGGCTTGCCAGGATTAAAAAGGAACAAATGGTCAGTAATTGTTGCACTCGCATAATGAAATCTTAACACTGTTACCACAAAAATATATAGAATAGGCTGAATGGAACTGTAGTGTAAGATGCTTCAAGGTGCACAAGGCAGGCCTTTAACAGAAGGTGTATTTTAGAAGGATTTTATTCACATCACTGTTTCTTGAGAAATAAATGATATAATTCACATTTAAGAAATGAGCAAGTTTTGTGAGTTTTTTAAGCTTATATGGTACTTTCAAAATGATAATTTAATTGCTTTGATGGCAAAACAGATGCACCGAAGACCTCTTTGGAGTTGAGGGTAAAT